TGTGTGGTGTGTGTGTGTGTGTGTGTGTGTGTATGTGTGTGAGTTATCTTTGTGAGGACCGAAATCTGCATTCTACTATACTTGTGAGAACCAACTGTCATTTGTGAGGACACACAATTGGTCCTCACAAGTTTGAAGGCCTTTTTGAGGCTTAAAATGTGGTTTTAGTGTCAGGGTTACAATTAGGTTATGGTTAGGTATTAGGGTAAGGGTTAGGCATTCATTTTTAATGGTTAGGGTTAGGGTAAGGGGCTAGGGAAACCATTATGTCAATGAAGGTCCTCACTAAGATAGCTGAATGGGGCTGTGTGTGTGTGTGTGTGTGTGTACTGTAGATGTACTGCTTCCTCAGAGTTGTTATGAAGGGCAGGGATAGCTCAGTAGGTGAGTGAATGTTGTAAATGCAGACAGGAATTTCCCCACGGGATCAATAACGTATACATTATTATTAATATTATGAAGGGGGAAGCTTTCCAGGCAGGCCAAAAATACACTTAATTCTGCAAAGTGGCGGATGCATCTCAGTGAGGCTTTAATCCGGCCAGTTCTTGCAAAATTTGTTTTCTTGAACCTAACCTTGTCATACCCGAATCTAACAGCGAGTAAAAATAACATCAAAAAAAGTGCAAAACACAGCAGACACAAACCAGATGCAGAAAGCTGCAACAGTTTGACAAACGTAATTAACTGATTCCGCAGGAAAGAGAACAGACTGGACATCCATCAGTATCTTTAAATATGGAAAACACTACACTCTGAATCTGTCATGAATCGCTGTGCGGCAGGCAGGAGTCGGACCCAAAATGCAAGACTCACAGACTCAGGGGATGAACTCAAAAATCACAGCTTTATTTGCTGGTAGGACAAACTAAACTAAACTGGGAAACAACAAACTAAGAACTCACAGAGAGACACAGCGAGATCCACACAGCATGAGGGACGACGCGACACTGACTCAGAGAAACACAGGGTTTAAATACACTGGGGAGTAACGAGGGGAATGAGACACAGAAGGAGGGAACACCTGGGAGCAGTGTTGGGAAGGTTACTTTTAAAATGTATTCCACTACAGAATACAGAATACATGCCCCAAAATGTATTCTGTAACGTATTCCGTTACGTTACTCAATGACAGTAACGTATTCTGAATACTTTGGATTACTTAATATATTATCATGCTTTTTACAACTACGTGAATGTACTATTGCTGTGTGATTTATTACTATTACTGAAGGTCCGCAACTCCGACTCCGAACTGTAGTAAAGGGACCTCTGACTAATACGGCGGGGCCCCTGTCGGCTGGTAGCCGAAAAATAGCTTTACTTTGTTGT